GCTTGATGTGCGTCCAAAAATTCTGCACCACCCGCCAGTTTCACCGGCTCATAATAATATTACTTATAAAGGCGTTAAAAAGCAAATTTGACGAAAACAATTACAGATTAGAGTTTGAAATAACAAATTAATGTTTGTTAATGTTACATTGGAAATTGATATAATGCCAACAAGGCACATTTTCATAACGTTAAAAATATATATATATATATATATATATATATATATATCGAAAATTTCCATTTCGGGAAATTGAGCGAAAATGTTTTGGGTGATCCGTGGCACGCAATTAATAAAATTTCGAGTAAATGTGAAAAATTTTCAATTAAATATTAATTAAGCGTTTGCATAAGGACATAAGGAAAGCGAATGAAAGAAAATTGACATTAACAAGGTTCCGAGGAACATTATTGGGACACATGAATTAAAATTCCAGCTTCTATGCATGTATAATCCGTACCCTGAGAAATGTCAAATTTCCAATTTGTAGAATGAGTGAAAAAGGACGAACCAGAAAACCCTTATCTACACATCGTGTGTAACTGTACATCTATTTACCAAGAGAATATAATTTATCAAGTCGTTATTTTGTATATTTCTGCGTGTTAATCGATAATACTGTATTTAGAAAGGAATGAATGAATTCGAAGGTAAGAAACTCTGAGATTATGGAATGACAACATTAAAAAAAGGATTGTTGGCAATATTGGGTATTAAATTAGAATTATAATTTATATAAAGGCCGCCATCAATTAAATCCACAGGTCACATTCATGAAAAGAGTGTAATGCGGGATGAGTAGATAAGTTATTGATTATCTTTCACCCTTCTCCTGAACCTCTTTCTCCATCGGTTTAGCTGATTTACTGCATCGGAAATGTTTTTGCACAATTGTTTCTCATGCGAATTTGCGGAGCTCCAGATCTTTTCGCACACGAAACGGACGACGTTTCCGTCCGTCACATTTAGCCTTGCGGCCTCTTGCTTTACGTTAATCTTACAGATGCAACGTGCATTCATTAATAAATTACAATCTTGTCGGTAAAGGTTCAAAATTAAGCTCGGATCATTCAGAGCTGGTGGAAAAATGTTGTTCATATTGATATTATCGAGAAACCAAACGTGTAATGAGTCCGGAGGCGCATTCATGTGTTAATTTGCGATTTATTCTTAATTTTATTCGAAAAGGAAGTTTTCTCTCCAATTATTCCTCAAGAACAATAAGGAGAAAGAGAATAATAGAAATTTTTTATAGAATTACAGTCTTGAGAGATTTTATAATATTCGCACGCACACGGGGGGGGCGGTAAAATTAGACGACTGTGCGGAGCCTTGGAAGTTTGATGTGTGAGATAATGTATAATTGGTTTGGTCAATCAATCAAACCGCACGCATGTATTTTTCCCACTGCATTTTTTTTTCTTGAAAGGGAAAAAAAATTAGTAGCGTGGATTAAAGTGGCAGGGGGCTGAGTTTCATGCATATATGAGCTACCAAATGTTATTATTGCATTGTGCCTCGAGTGCTTTCGCTTGATGAGCATAAAAGAGAGAGGTATGAAATCGGCAGGATAATATTAATACAATTTGCAGATTGAAGCTGTATTCTTTTTGGAAGCTGGGTGCGAGTATCCCGAATGATTTGCTTTTAACCGATCATTAATGAAGAAACGAAAGGCAAAATACAATGCTCAATTGCATTTGTCCAATTCATCTACGTGCACGTCTTCGTGAATACACACGCATACATGCGGGCATGTTATGAATACGCTCATTCTTTTCAGTTGCGCTTGATAAATATTTCACATCTACCCAATTACTGAACGTCGATACAGTAAGGTTAATTAGTCCATGATTTCCAGTAAATTTGCATGAGGGGCTCACATGAACACCTTTCTGCACACAGAAACCCGAGAATGGTCGACACAAACTAGTTTGATTACGCATGAAATCATTTGTTTATACCTGGCTGCGTGCGTTTGCCCGTTGATATTTATTAGCAAGGGTTTGATAGGGACGAATCACGGTAATGAGAAAAAAAAAGTCTAGGCTTGGAATGTTGGAACAAAATTCATTATTTTGGAATTCATGAAAGAAAAAATTTTATTAATATAATTTACACTATCATCATTATGCTGTCACATACAGCATACTTCACATTCCATCATTTCCCTAAAATGTCTTGGACTACGAGATTGCCATCAACCTCATTACGTAAATGGTTGGTTCACGTCATTCGCGTTGATCACCCAACTACTGTTAGCCGATTCCTAGGTAACCAACATTGATGCCAAATCTCCCTTGATACCCTTGGTGCCTTCGGAACGGAGTCGATCGGTGATGCACACTGGCAAATTGGATCGCACATCCCAGTCGGAGATTTGCCCCGACAAACGTCTTTTCTTTTAACGAATCAACATGCGCAGGCCATTAGTTGTGATGTTGAACTATTATACATTGCATAAGATCTTGCGATTATGATACGTAATGAAATTCAATTCCGGGAATGTTTATGCTTATCTAGGAAATTTTAATTAGCTGCCAATCAGCACAAAAAAAAATAAACAAATTCGTTTGACAAAGAAAAGAGGTAAATCTATTACACAATACGGTAACTTAGCCTTTATTTCTCTCTTTGATGAAAACCAAAAGAAAATTTAATATAACCAAAACGTTATTCCTTTTTTTTTTTTTTGAGTGTGCGTGTATTTTAACTAAAAGAGCTAATAACCTCATTTGTCAACAATAGTATTACGGTTTACCGAATTACGTATTTATATTTCATCGAGATACTACGTACAAGATACAGTATTTTTCTCCAACCACTTCTCATCCCGGGCGAGTTCGCAACAATATTTTGTTAATTTCTTATTTCATATGCGCGGTTACTTGGTGCTTGTGCGTGCGTCAACTATAACTTAAATAAAGACATGCTTAAGCATGGCTGGTATGGTACGAGGAATATTAAGATTATTGCACAAATCAATGTGTTTGATTTTGATTGGGCGACCATGTCACTAAAGTTAACCCGTTACACAAATATTGCATTTTCGAGAGCCCTATCGTAGAAAAATCATCAGAAAACTGACAAGAAATCATGCGGACGTCTAATTGACGCCGGTTTTCCATCTTTCTTTAACTTATCCCTTCGACAAATGAAGCTGAATACAGAAGCCTGAAAAAAGCCGAAACAATCACTTCGGCAGATTCTCGATTAAGAACTCAATAAAAATAAATAAATAAGCACAGTAAATATATAATCCTGCATATGATCAGTTAAAATAAATCGCACTAGGCCCTCATACTCCGTACTCCACGATCTTCGGCAAGCATGACAGATGGAGAGAGCCGAATTTGTGTAATAAAGAAGATTCCATGAATCGAATGCGACCGTTAAAAAGTAACCGGGAAATCTGAGGAGTGTTGTTAAAGAGACGATCCTTTGTCAACTCACTCTCACCTTGCACGTACCGTACTGCAATGTCGGAAATGTCATTTATGGAAAAACATACGTGACTCACGGGGGCATATCAAATTTGATTTTGACAAGATAATCTACATTCGCGTGAAACCAAAATTTTTAGCAATAAAGTTATTATTAGACGGGACGGGTTATACAGTATAATGTGTTTCATAATTAAACACGATCAGATTTAATCCGGTAAGATCCGAATTCTAAATTTAACATTAACTCGCAAAAACACCTCATGTTATCTCACGCCTTTGTTGTATTGTTTTCAATCTCCATGTTTGTTTTTTTTTTTACCTTTAGGGGAATTTTGGTGGATCCCTATCGAGCCCCTTCCTGCAAGCGATCCCACATGACGAAACCTTTTGCAGCTCGAAGAAGGTTGACCTTTGGCCGCACTCGAATCGCTCATTGCGGATTGGGGCATGCGATTTATTTTTAAATCTCTGTTAACTAAAAAAAAACTAGTAATAACTAGTAATTACAGTATTTCAAACATTTTTTTATTGACATAATAGTGATCGAAAAGGGGCAAGCTCATTTTGATGCTGCGACGGATGTCCTCATAATATGAAAATAGACTGATCGCAAAACTGTATAAATTAAGGGACTCGAAGGTTGCATTCACGATGCTAACCTGCCCTCGCTTACGCTTCAAAAAAAAAAAAAAAAAAAAAAAAAAAAAAAAAAATCGAAATATCTATATTTTTTATGAATAAGACAAAAAAAATCAAAGTCAAATATGAATCGGAGTGTAGAAGAAATCTCAAATGATCCTTTGGTGATCCAGAGAGTGATCGTCGGTCCTGATTTAACTCCCGAAAGGTTCGTTGAGAAAGTGAAGGCCCGTTCCCTTAACCGCAGCACGCTGGCCAAGGACATCTTCGATATTGTCGTTCGAGAGGAAGTGGCGAACGAAGTCGATCCCGGAGTCTTGAGATTCGTGTCCACCAAACTCTGGATGAAAGCAAATTCCCAAGTGAAGAGAGATTACAAAGGTTGTGCGACACGCGTGAGCGTAAGAGTTAACAGACATAGAAGGGATTAAGTTTTATTTCTTTAAATCATATTTTAGACACAGTACATCATCTTTATTCTCTGGTCTCATTTTGTCGCACTTTTTATTTATTTATTTATTTATCTTTCCTTTCCTTTCCTTTCTTTTCCTTTTTATTTTGCTGTAATTCTTTTTTTTTTTTCACTCGTTATCTTACTACTTTCATCGCTTTTCTTTCGCTGCCTCGCGATTATTGTTATTTTCCGTCGTTACTTAAAAAAAAATTTTTTTTTTCTCTTTCCGTCGTTACTTAAATTTTTTTTCTCTTTCCGTCGGTTAAAAAAAAAAATTTTTTTTTTTTCCCTTACTCGTTTCTTTTGTTTCGTTGTTTCGCAAAAGAATCTTTCGTCGTTACGTTACTGGCATTCTGAATAAAAAAAAATAAACAGGCAATCTGTAAATCCCAACATATGACACGTGAATCTTCCCATTGTTCACTAAATGGTTAGGTCAACAAAAAAAAAAAGTTTGTGTTTATTATCAGCTGCGGAAATTTTCGATCCCCGATTTCACAGTATTTACACGTATATTTTTAATTTACACGTACAATACATTATTATTACAATGAACCCTCCCTCTGGCGCCCCCTCATAGGGACCATGGTGAAAAATGGGAAAGCGTAATTTAAAGAGGTGGGACTGTGATCCGGTAGATAATTTTACTACCAAGTATTCTATAAGTTTGGGGCCAAGCGCCGAGGGTACATTTGGGCTTACTGCATAGTATTTCATTTATTTCTTGTTATCCATTTTACTTTACACGTATGCACCTTAATTTGCACAATTTTTTTATTTTATTTTATTTTACTGTATGATGACTTTAGAACCAAGTTACAGTACAGTGTGATATGTGACTTTGTTGACGGAGTAACGCGAGTGGATAAATTCACAATCACGGTGAAGGTGACGCCCGCCTCTTTTCCCCGATTTCTATATAATCGGTTATTTTTATATCACTAAATGGCGTGCAAAAAAAAAAAAAAAAAAAAAAAAACCAGGACCGAAAGAGACGTGACCATTCCTATTCCTTGCAGCTTTATTATTATTATTATTATTATTATTTTAAGGGGTAACATGCGTATTTTTTGAATCTTTGTAATTATAATATTGCCTTTTTCTTTTAGGAACGACATCGTGTACTGCTGAATTCTTCAATCGATATAAATATTAATGCACCACCATCCTTGCGTAGGCGAAGAGGCGTCCGCCGTTTGCCCCTTATTTGCCGTTGGACCACTCATGTCGAAAAAAATTTTTTTTTTCAGTTTTCGGATCCTGCACAAATAAAAAGTGAAAACTTCACACAAGTTCATTTCTTATAAGGGGATAAAGGTGATGATTTAAACGAAGTTTATGGTGAATGCGTAGATTGTGCGTAGTACTGTATAAAGGACGATCTCGACCAAACCCGAGGCACAGCATTAACTTTATTATACAGTACGTTACGCGTTTTTAACGATAATCACGTAAGGCGGACTACAATAAAAAAAAAAATTCGAGATCAATGGCGACCGTTAAATTTAGCGCATGTTTCCCGATGTTACGTTTCACGACTCATCGAAAAAGAAAACAAAGACTTGTAAAGAATCCTTTCACCTGTGTTAAATATGGAAAGAGAATGAGGATTAAATTGTAATTAACAAAACCATTATTAAACTTTTTGAAAGATGGGAAGATGCTGTGTTTCTATGTAACATACTGATTAGGTACAGTACATCACGTGAATAAACTATAATTTCCGTATTTTCACACCTGTCACTATGTGGATAACCCGGGATACTTTGAACGGTAGTTATTTCCCTGGTGCCCTTCCGGTCCAACGTAGACAATGTAAAATGGAATACATTGAGCGCAAGAATTGATGACATACAATTTACTGTTCTCAAAACAAAAATCTTACTCAATGTGGAATGGAAAAACCCGTTACGCAGGGTGGAAACCCCTGCCTAATTTGAATTAATCGTGGGGTATTTATGTAAGTAACACTTCTCTGGGGTATACATGTGACAAGTTTATTAAGTTTGTGCATGTGAAACTGCGGGGTGTAGGTGCTTAAATTAAATTATTAGTCCCCCGGTATATACTGTATGAAAAGGAAATAGGAATGATCGCCTTTGATTATTTTCTTCCTAATTCTGCCGTCTTCTCCCCCGGTATATGAAAAGGAAATAGAAATGATCGCTTTTTATTATTGTCTTCCAAAAAAAAAAATTCTTCATATGTATGAAGTGAAACGTGGTTATCGGCATTCACAAAAAAAAAAAAATAATAATAATAAAATAAATTCCGAAATGAGTAATGACATTAAAAGAGTGCACGAAACGTCAACACTTGTTTTCCCATTCCTCTTGCTCGTCCTTTTGGAAGTTGATGACTCTCACCTTTTTTCTTTCATTGAAGGCACATCATGCTCAAATCGCGGTCCAAACAAACGAATTGTTTTGCCTCATGATTGACCACTACATATTGCTATACACGATTCTCATACTAAATACGAAAATGGGCAACTGAAGGTTTTTACCTTTCATTAACTGCCAAATTTTTTCGAGAGTAATTATAATTTGTCGATAAGACGAAAAAATAAAACAATAAATATTACACACATACGTACACGTGTCCATTGAATTGTGTGCGAAATATCAATTCTCTCATTGGATAATGAAATATAGTATATAAATATCCAGGATGGATTGCCTGGGTTCATTCTGTCCTTTCTCCCTTGTCACCCTTTTCTTTCAAACCAGAACAAGAACCGGAATTCTTGTGAACCTCGTTTGTAAATTACAGGGTATACACAAACCATTGAGAAAATGAACTTCAGACAATTCCCTGGTGCACAGGATCCTTGTGTTTCATCGAACAACCCGTTGGTTCAAAATTTTCTGGAAAATATGAATTATGGTAATATATCACCACCGGCGTTGGATGATCCCCTAAGGATCCTCGATCATTTTAAATATAGGGTGAGGAAGATGAATGCTAAAATTATATTGGAACTAAATGTGTTGCAAGAGGCAAAACGGCTACGGGTAAACGATCGCAATGTGACCAACGAGGTGATTTGCATCATATGGAAGAGGGCTACGACGCGAGACATCTATTTGTGGAAGCAGGTGTCGGAAAATGCCAAGAGCCATGTCACGGTGAAATTTCCGTTAATGAGGATTGAGGCAAATGCCAAACATTTTAACGGAGAGGCGGGAAACTTTGAAACCACTTTGAAATAAACCTGGTGTTAAATAATGTTTAATTTCTCATTCTTTCATCTTACGTACTTAAAGACATTAATTATTATTAATCCACTAATTTTAGATTTGAGGTTAAACATTTGATATGTTGATCTCTAATCTCCAATATTTACAATACGTACACCCTTGCATATAATTTTTACTGATGATAATCCCCTCCGCCGTCCATCTCATTGCCTAGACAAATCTTTCCAAAAACAACTGATCTACTGTATAATAGCATTTTTGTTGATTTTGATTGATAACTAAATAAAAAAGATCACTGTGTGGATGTTGCAAATTATGAAACTCAATGGAGCGTTTATTCCAAATTAACTGACAACCTAATTCATTTACCGGTTCTTTAACCACATTTTAAGATTAATCGCATAGATGAAATAAAAACCTTTTCACAATTCAGAATTCGTAGAAAGAGGGAAAAAAACAAGTCCCACTCTAAGCACCTGGGAATCGATGAATGCATTTGCGGCGGCGAACTCTGGTTCGAAATGAAATCACCACGGTAATGCGATAATCAAATGATCGATATAAAGTACGTATGATGTATTTTGTCATTCAGGCATTCGATTCTTAAACTCTTCATCGAATGCAAGATAAATTTCCCGGGAAAACTGCCTCGACTGTACAAATCAAGAAAAAAAAGAATGTCGCATCTCTTCGATGCCAGCAAAATCTGATTACCTGAAGGATAGCATACAATATGCACATACGTTATACGCATATAAGGAGTCTTTCGAAAAAAAACTTTTTTCTGGCAACGATATACTGTAACATAATTTCTGAAAGGGGTGTGGGAAAGAGGAAATGTGTCACACCACCACCACCGTCTCTACCATTACCACCACCCTGCTGCCATCAACAGACTCGATAGATATCTTTGTGTTCATGTTTGTTCATGTTACTTATTTAACGGGGTTTCATTTCAATGATGATGTTCATTTCATCTGTCCTTCCCGCATGTACCTGTTTGTAAAAGTAAAATATCGTCACGAAAACTCCCTTTTTCTTTATTCATCCACGTTCGCACAATCCTTCCCAGAAAATGATCCGCACCCGAACGTCTCCACGACAATAAGAGAATGTGGAAACTTTTTCGTCCTATGAATGTATGTACAGCTATTCGCATTATTGTTATTATCGTTATTATTATTATTATTATTATTATTACTATTACTATTATTATTATTATTATTATTATTATTATTAAAAATAATCACATCCTGACTAAGGAAAAATAAATAAAGATAAAAATACCATTAATCCATTAATTTAATCACCTTAAAAAAAAAAAGCCAATAATAAATATCTCATACTATCAAGGTGATTAGGAAAAAAGGTTTATTACGTAAATTGACGTAAATTGACGCCCCATCATCGGGAGAGGTGGAGGTGTGTTGCGTTTTGGTCAAAGTACGGACAATCTTTTTTTTTCCCTTAGACAAAGAGCATAACTTGGCACAACTTACTTGCACATGATAATCTTAATTTTTTTTCGCTAGCGTGTAAGCTTTGGACCTACAATGATTGGATTGTGACATCCGAATATGCAACAATGAACAAAATAATGTACAACTACTGGTGATGTAGGCTGTTTAATCCGAATTTGGTAAAATAAACAAATCATGAAAAATTATAAAATGCAAGAGGTGAATTTCTTCACACGGTGATCATACATTCAGGATTTTCCGGATTTGCGAAGGAAAAAAAAAAAAATGGTCAATGGAAATAGTTCAGGGAAGAGTAGCGTACGTCATATGTTGATACTGCTATAAATGTTCCGAGTATCAGCTCTCCGTTGTTAAGGAAAAATTTTTACTTATAGACAGTCGAACATCCCATATCAACCTCTGATGGAGGAAAAGCGGGAAGATCAAATAAGAGCAAGAAATTCGGTAGATGACAATGACAATGAAGACGAAGAGACTAGGCAAAAACAGTCTCATCCGCATTTTGACGACCCGATGTTGAAACAAGTCGAGGAAACGACAAGGATATCGACATTCGTCTATTTCACAACTTTTACGGTCGCCATCGGTGGATTTTTGTTTGGGTATGAAAGTTGCCTCGTCATCTGTCATCATCATTCATTCGTTCTTTGATATGCACATTTAATTTTTTTGACCATCATTGCAGGTATGATACTGGTGTCATTAGCAGCGCCATGTTATTGCTTGAAAATGACTTTACCATGACATCTCTTCAAAAGGGAATGGTCGTTGGTGGTGCGTATCATGTCGATATTGCGTTAATCTGATGTTTTGTTCGGAATGGAAATTTGATTGAGATTTCCAAATTATTTAAATACCAAGCCACAACACTTGGAGCCATAATCGGCGGTCTGAGTTCAGGTGAAGGAATTCTCCATTTTTCTTTCCTCCTTTCGGCGAGCATTTTTACTCA